GCAAAATAAAGCAGCCTTACTAAAATCTTTAAATAATAGCAAAAGTCTATTATTTGCGATTAAAATTGGTATAAAATACGCAACAGAAACATGACACGATAAAGTATTTTTAACTTTGGAGTATGCCATGTATGCATGCTAAATAATTTCATTTACTAATATATAACATTATTTTTATTTAAAATACCTAAAGTAATCTTTTAAATACTACTAAACTCGACAAATTTTTTTACGTTACTATAAAAAAAATATGAAGGGTGCGAAACGAGTTCGGTATAAATTATGTGTAGTAAAAAGAAGCTATGATCGGTGGCCGCACAATATTTTTCTGTGGCTTCGATAAAATAAGATCATTTTTATCAAAGTTTTAATTACAATTCGTAGGAATTTCCCTTTTGTGCGGATTATGCCTTGCCCGAAAAACAAGATTCGGTTTTCTCTATCTCGTGCATTTGCCTGGTGCAGTCACTCAGGTGCAGTTGTCGGTCAGCTGGCTGTTGGACGACAAAAGTTGTGGATTATTTCCCGCTTTTTCTCACAATGGTTGTTCGTCAAATCCAAATCGCTGAATTAGTGGCAGCCAAGTATATAAAAAACCAACTGGGTTATTTCCTAAAATGGGAGGCCTGCTAAAACAAAGTTACCCACAGATTACGAAACAAAGACACCTGGACAGGGCGGTTATGGCAAATTTCAGGTACGAGGAATCTAAATATACACATTTTCCAATGCAAGAAAAAAGGCTGGCTTCCAAAACGTCAACTACTTTGCATACGTACAAAGTATAATATTCCATAACGCCGAACTACAAAATATTGACAATATATACTTTTCCAAAACGCATCGTTAGAGCAATCAGCGCATCAGAAACAAAGTTGATGCTTCGTTTGTTATTGGTTACCATTTGTGTTTAAAAAATGGAAAGTTCTGAAAAATTGTTCATTGCTGTATGGAATATTCAAAATGTGCAATGTATATGGTTGCAATGTGTCGCAACTCTGCATATACAAACAGTTTGAACACCGCAGTATAACAGTATCCAAACATTGTATTTATACGTTTTGGAAGTCAGCCAAAATAATTGTTTGCATTTTATTAAAGGTTGTGGAGTGAGCGAATTGTCTTATTTAGAATTCCCACCGCTATATAAGCTTCATATACGAATCAGCATGCCAGAATTATGTGTGAGTCATACATATGCTACTGAATACACATATTTTAATATATATACATATGTATGTATATTTCTTTGGTTTCGGAACTATAGTCTTTGCTGGTAGGTTTTGACAATTGAGGCGAACTCATTTGGTCTAGTGGGTTGACTAACGATTATCGAAACCTGTCAAGTGAAATGGATTCGCTTCCCATCAGACCTAGTTGTGTTGAAAACGAGCAAGCATAATGAACAATTGTAACGAGTTTCAACTTATTTCAATTATTATTAGATTTTTTGAAGGATGGTAATTGATAATTCGCACCTCGTTACCAATTTCGTATTTCTGAAACAATTGTTCATCAAGCTTGGTCTGTCTAATTTTTACCCGATTCTGTGATGAAAAGGGTCGCCATTCTACCGACGTTCTTTGGTGCTTATAAGATCTAACGATGGTCGGTTCTTTATACCCAGATCTACCCGGAGAGGCCGGGCTAAGAACCATCACCACAATCTTACTAAAAAACGACTACCTTTAATATTATTCTGGATTAAACTTGATTATAGGCGTGGAATCCTTCCGAATGCATAGAAGTGGAATTTTTGTGCGATGAGGAAGTGGAATTCACGCGGGATTGGGGATCAACGGAGAGGGTTTATTTACGAAGTGCTTGCTGGCTCCTCGGTTTCTTGATTTTGGGATGGAAGTAGGACCAGTTTGGCCAGCGGTCTCGTGATCTGCCCTTTCTCCGTGATGAGGTCAAGTACGCGTACTCGATCGTCGGGACCAGGATGTAAGCTGCTTATTCGACCTAATCTCCACTCATTTGGTGGGAGGTTGTCTTCCTTGATGACAACGAGATCTCCTAATTTTATATTTTGCTTTAGATGTTTCCATTTAATCCGCTTTTGCAGTTCGGATAAATATTCGGTTTTCCATCGCTTACAAAAGGTTTGGTGGAGAGCCTTAAGCTTCTGCCACCGATTTACTATCGAGGCAGGATTTTCGTGAATGTCCATTTCGGGTGGGGCTAGCAGGTGTCCCCCGGTAAGGAAGTGACCTGGAGTGAGAGGTTCCAGGTCGGTGGGTTCATTCGAAGAAGGGCTCAATTTTGGTGAGTTGAGGTACGCCTCAATCCGACATAAAAGAGTACTTAACTCTTCGAATGTATACTTATGAACCGATGCAATCTTTTTGAAGTGGCTTTTAAAGCTCTTCACCCCTTCCTCCCATAAGCCTCCCATATGAGGAGCAGCGGCGGGTATGAAATGCCATGTGAGCATTTGATAGTTGTATTTTGAAACTGTTTTTTCACGCGAATCTGCTATAAATGCCCTAAATTCAGATCTTAAAGATCGTAAAGCTCCGACGAAGTTTGTCCCATTGTCGGAATATATGTTTTCGGGCATCCTCTTCTGGCAACAAACCTGGCAAATGCGGCTAAAAATGATGGAGTGCTGAGGTCACTAGTTGCTTCCAAATGAATCGCTTTTGTCGAAAAACAGACAAAAAGACAAACGTATCCTTTGGACATTCGACAACCTCGGCCGCTATAACTCTTCATGTCAAAGGGTCCTGAAAAATCTACACCTGTAATCGTAAACGCGCGCGAAAATGTGGTTCTCTCCTGAGGGAGAAATCCCATAAGTTGGGTTTGCGTACGTTTTTTGTATATCGTACAGACTTAGCAATTATGGATTGTGGATTTGATCAGATTTTTAACTCTGGGGATCCAATACTGAGTTCGGATAAGGCGAAGCATGAGTTGATTTTCCCCATGCAAAGAGACTTGGTGAATAAAAGACACTATTAGACGGGACAACCTGCAGTTATAAGGGATAATTATTGGATGACGCTCGTTGTACGCTAAGTCTTGGGACGCTCCAAGACGCCCACCAGCCCTAATAATGCCATCTTTATCTATGAACGGATTAAGCGGTAGGAGTTCACTCTTGGAGTCGATGGAGTTTCCTGCTTTCAATTTCCCGTATTCTTCACTGTAATAGTTCTGTTGATAGATTCTTATCAAACGTTGTGTCGTTGCTTTAATTTCATCGGATGAAATTAAGCGTGACTTTTCTCGAAATGAAGTTTTCGTATTTCGATGAGTTCTTTGAGAGAATCTCATAACATATGATAATACTCTCAAAGCTCTCGGAAAATCTGAAAAACGGCCAAGAATATCGGTATAATTTACTTTGGTTTATAAACGTGCGTTCTTTTTTCCTCAACTACTGTGCTGTAGTCTGTTTCTTGTGTGGGCCATTTAGGGTTATCTTCTTGTAACAAGAAGGTCCCTGTCACCACAACGAATTGTTGACCAATTCATATGCTGGAAGTCCTCTGCTCGCTAAGTCTGCTGGTTTAGATGTCGAATCCACATGCAGCCAATTCTTGTTTCCGACTTTCTCTACAATTTTTGTGATTCTATGGGCAACGAAAGTTGACCATGAACACGGAGGCTTGCGAATCCAAGCGAGCACGGTTGTGGAGTCGGTCCACAGATGTATGTTGGTATGCCCTAAATTGAGATTGTTGATTATCGAATCAACTATTTCCGCCAATAGTACCGCTCCGCAAAGTTCCAGTCGGGGTAGCGATATAGTTTTAACAGGAGCAACTCTGGTTTTTGCCAAAAGCAGGTTAATAAAAACTTTGCTATCTCTTTTGACACGCATATACACAGAGGCGGCATATGCTTTCTCCGACGCGTCACAGAATCCGTGTATTTGTATGTCATCCGTTGGAGAAAAGTGTACCCATCGCGGTATACGAATATTATTAATTTCGTTATAATGTTGAGTAAAATTCTGCCATCGGTCTAGAGTGGTCGAAGACACAGTTTCATCCCAATCTGTGCCTTCCAGCCAAATATTTTGCATAAGGATTTTGGCTACAATTATGATAGGCGCAAGCCACCCCAGCGGATCGAAGAGTGGCTAGTATCGCTCTTTTCGTAACAGTATCGCTTTACTCCAATGGCCTTGCTATAAAATAGAAAAGATCCGTATGGGCATTCCATCTTATTCCAAGAGCCTTGACTGCGCTGGTATCTTCAAACGCCAAAAAATTTTCACTAAGTAGATCTGCTTTCGGTATGCCAATAAGTATTTGCTCGCTATTGGCTGTCCACTTTCGAAGTGGAAAACCGGCTGATTGCAACACATCCGATATCTCATCTCTGGCTTTTATTGCTGAATAGATAGTGTGTCCACCAGATAATACATCGTCGACATACATGCATTTTCGCAGTATATTAGATGCTACTGGATGGGAGCTTTGCACATCGTCAGCTAATTGTAAAAGTGTCCTTATAGCCAGATAAGGAGCACAATTGATACCGAACGTGACAGTCTTTAATTCGTACAGACTGATCGGGTTATTCGGGTTAGTGCGAAAAATTATCCTCTGATACTTAGTATGGTTGTTGTACACCAGAATTTGCCTATACATCTTCTCAATGTCACTGTTGAACACACAACTGTACAGTCTCCAACGGAGTATTAATATCGGAAGATCTGCCTGAAGTACTGGTCCTGGGAAAAGTACGTCATTTAGGCTGTTGCCATTCGCCGTTGGGCTTGAGGCATTGAACACCACGCGTACTCTCGTTGAAGTACTTTCTGCCTTTATCACAGCGTGGTGCGGCAGAAAATAATTATTGGACGAGTCTGCGGGTTATTTGTTATTTTCGACATATGCCCAAGCGTTTCATATTCCGCTAGAACCCTATTGTATTCCTTTCGCAGGACGGGATCCTTGGCCAGCCGTGTTTCATTCCGGTAAAATTGAGAACATGCTCTTTTAAGGGATGGGCCTAGGGATATATTTCCTAGAAAATCTTTTCTAAATGGTAGTGACACGATGTATTTTCCTTCCTTTCTTCTGATACAGCTCCTCGCAGTACTTGTCGTCTTCATTAGGGCTTTTGTTCCTTGGAATCTCCTCAAGCTCCCAAAAGGCACTCAGTTGCTTGTCCAGACTTACTTCGCTGTAGTATGAGACGATATTCGTTCCTGGATTCGTGGTATCAGTTCGCCCCGTTATTATCCAACCAAATACTGTTTCTTGGGCTAGAAGTGTGTTTAATATGTTCTTCTTAAGCCCGCTCAGAATAATTTGTGGATATATGTCGCCACCCAGAACAAGGTCTACGGGTTCATTCACGAAAAATCGTTTATCCGCTAGAATCAGATCTGGAAATGCTTGCTTAGTCACTGCACTAATGTGGCAAGTAGGAAGATTTCCAGTCAGTTGTGCTAGCACGAGCACTGAGGTATTTAAGCGGAACAATGGGTCAACAGGAGACCGCAATTCGATGTTGCACTCTTCTTTAACCTGCGCCGTAGTTGTATTAGTGATGCCCGAAACTTGGGCATGCATACGCTTTGACGGCAGGTGAATTCTGCGTTTTAGTCTTTCAGTGATGAAAGAACACTCTGAACCAGAATCAATAAGTGCTCTAGCGGAATAGTTCGTACCATTGAAATAAATGTTGACGCGTGCTGTCCCTAATAACACACCTGTGTTTGTATTCGCATAGCAAGACTTCACGTTTTTGCTTGTATGCTTGTTTGATTTTGTTGAATTGCGTTTGGCTTGGGCCTGATTGGATGTTGACGCAGAATTAGTCGCAGAATCTGAAGAGGTCCCAAGTGTCGTTGCCTTTGTTTGAGCTGTCTCAATATGAAGGAGCGTGTTGTGTCGCGAGTGGCACTTGATACAATTAAATGGGTTTGTGCATCTTGACACAGTATGTCCAGTACTAAGACAATTCAGGCACCATTTTTTGCCTTTCAAAAAATCGATTCTATCAGCAGGTGTTTTGTTGAGGAATTGTGGACAGTTGCGTAACTTGTGCTCATTAGTTTGGCACATTTGGCAGATGAACTTGGTCACGCTTGCCTGAAAGGCTCCTAGCCTTTTAGTGCCAGCTTCCTGGTGGTGTCGTGCGGGTTGGTGCTTTGGAGCTTTCGCCGCTGTTGTACCCTTTAGTCCCGCTAGAGTTTCCAAAGTTTGAAATCTATTGGATAGGAACCTGTCCATATCCTCCCACTTTGGAATGTCAGTTTTCTGGTCTATGGTCTGTTCCCATAGAGCCAGTGTACTTTCTGGAAGCTTCGTTGAACACAAATATATAATAATTGCGTCCCAATTAGAGATGTCAATTTGATGACTTTTTAGGGACGATAAACAATTATTAATCTCGCGCTGTAGATTTTTAATTGAGCTACCACACTCAGATTCCACTGTATTTAAGCTAAATAAAACTTTTAATTGTGTGTTAACTAAGATACGTTTGCTTTCGTATCGCACACACAGGCTTTTCCAGGCTGTCGAAAAGCCTTCATGGGTAAGTGGGCACTTTCGCACTATGTCTTTTGCGTTTTATTGTTGAGGTGAACTAGTTTCTCAACTGGGGTGAGGCGCTTGTTCAAGATGTAGATGGCCGTGAACATATCTCGGAAAGTTGGCCATGAAAGATAGTCGCTCTTGAACACATCCGTATCGCACGGTGGCAGGTGGATATCGTGTTCCCGGACGGACTGATCCTCTACACCTTTGGTCGCTTTGGTTAGTATTTCAACCTGAGAAGCAATAGCTGACATGCACCTGACATAGCTTTGAAAGGAAATCTTATTCTTCTTTTTTATGGCCTTGGCATCATCCTTAGTTAATCCCTCATTGATAAGCTTATCGTAAGCTGACTTGGTTTTTTCCCACAAAGCTTTTAATTCGTCTTGCTGTTATAATCAGATTCGAACTCTGTTACAGCTTCTGCCAAAAGAATATACGATTCCATTGTTAAATGTATTTACCCTGAACGAAGTATAATTAAAATGCCCAGATAGAATCTATAGGATTTTACACACTTAATCTTATCGAAGATTAGAGGTTGTATGCGCAAGAGAAGTTGCCAATTTTTTACCCACCGGAACTTGCCACTTAAATGTATACCAGAAATCCAGCGAATTAAAAAGATTCAAATTAGTTTATATTGCGAAATATATTATACACTTTATTAAAATGTAAACCTTTTTTTCTAGAATTATTGTTTACTAACGACTCGCCACCCAACTGTGCAGACTAATATCTATGCGCTTTGATAAGCTATGCAACGTACGCAATAAGGTGTAAATAATAAACGTGGTAAAATCGTGATGTGTGTAACGTAAGCAGCAAATATGTATATATGTTAAAAAATGTGCAACATTATACGGAGTTGAATCGCTTATGCGTAGTGATTTAGTGAAAATCCACAATTGATTCAATGCAAATAACAAATTTAGAGGTTATGTATCCTCGAAACAGTGACAAATTGTTCGCAAATATACAAAAGAATTTAACCCAACTAATGGGGCAGTGAAAAAGCGATCAGAAAAATGAAGATTAAGAATTATGGACTGTGAATCGAAATTCGTTATTAACAATATTATGTGATACGGATCACTGTTGTGAGTATATATATACGAGTGGTTGCAAGGTGCACTTATTTTTGGTAGCCGTTTGCGGACGTACTTAGAACCAAGACTCCAAAAATAAGCAGCAAACCAACGAGTATTGTGTGACACTATGTGTGAATATGCTAATGTTGCAAAGAACACCTAATTGTGGTCGCTGTTGTCACTTGTTGTCACAGACTAACCTCAATTATTAACAGTGTGGCTTCAAATTAAATGCTTGAATTGTGTATTTTGCACACGCGCATTGAATTTAAAACGTTTTTTTTTTTTTTTTGGCAATTTTCTAACAAGTGCAATTGAAATTATAACCACGTACCTTGAATTAAAAGTGATTGGTGTTTGGTGGTTCAAATGTGTTGTACGCTCGTTGGTGTCCTGGCAAATGTAGCAGGTGTAGTGGCAAGTAAGCTGAGTGTGGTTGTGTTGTCGCTAGATCTCTGTGGCTTGACCAATCGATTTTTCGGAAAACGTTGTGGCAAAAGTGATTGCTGGACAATAATTCCCTGTGTACGCTGTGGTTGTGGTCTGTAATATATATATGCACGTCGTTGATCATTTATCGCTCGGCTTCGATTGGACCATGTCAAAACGCATGTGCATCCTCGACTTTAGCGCTCGGACGCACAGGGGTTTTGCATTATTTGCAAAAAGAAATAAAAGGATACAGACAGTGATTTAGTGTTAATTCAAATCAATAGTCATATATATTTGTCAAGTTTTCTTTTTATACAATTGAGTCTATTACCTTAATGCGGGAAATATCGATGAGGCTGGTAGCTCCGGTGTTCTTCCTTGATGATTCAAAAGAGAAGTGAAAGATTAAATTAAATCGCGTTAGTTGCGGACCGCCGGACAAACACCGATATAGAAGGGGAAAGTTAACGAAAGTTCGTTGTCCGGCGGGAAGGACTTGCTAACGGCCCACGTTCGCGTTAATACGTATGTGTATACATACGTGCGCATGTATAGTTATATACACACGCATGCGCACACAAATAGAGAAAATGACATTAGGGTGGAGCACCAGCTTTTTGAAATATTTAGGCTGAAGGCCTAAACAGATGTTTTATTTTTCGATGTTCGATGTTTTTGTCTAAACCATCACATAGGTAAGTGAAAATCTACGAGCACAATTTTAATAGATAAATAAAGCTTATTAAATACAAATTATTAATTCTTTAGGTTACTGGTATTAGCACAACTTTAAATCTTTAAGTCGCAGATTCTTTGTAGGACTGTGTTTATGTGTGTGTTTTCAATGGAAATCTTTCATCTTATGTATATGTATGTATACAAATGTGTTTTTGAACGTAGATTCCAATAATTCGAATTCTATTTTACTGAAATCTTAATATGAATTATTAAGAAATTTACAAGACTTTTAACAAATTTTCAGCAATATATGTAAATGGCTGTGTTTATAAACACAATAATGCAAAATATCACTCTCTTTTAAATCAAAGTCCAAATTGAGCTCATTTATCTTGTGTGGTTGTGAAATTAAAGAGACTGATGGTTTGCATATCTGTGTTAATGAATTCAGCCAACATTTAAAAAATTCGCAATTTAAAAAGGTCGATGTATCGATACATCGATGTTGCTCTCCCAAAAATATCGAAACATTGATGCGCGTAAATATCGATGTTTTTTCAGCACTAATGGTAACTAAGATATGAAACAAACGCTTTAGTTGAGATGTGATCAATATATATTGAAATATAGTATCACTGATTGTTTTGCATCGTGTTGTCTACTCGGTGCGACTTCTGGGCGTTTTTAATTTTAATTTGATGCTGAGGAACTCAATCAAAGGGAGCGCTGAATCCAACGCATATCTCACATTAAAATACAAACTTAAAATCATCAGAATTTTATTGTAGTTTTTTTAATATCCGCGATACTTTTGGTGTGTATTTTATTAAACTCTCGTAGAGGACTTCAATAAGTTTATTTACTGGTTGATTGGGAGAAATATAAATTGCCAAAAAATATAACTGTTCTCTCATGGTACAATCTGCTTTCACAAGCACATATTTTTATTCCTTGGTAATTTGAACAGACATTGATTCCAGTTGTTGTGCATTAAGTTCTATTTGTGGAGAAACAATACGGGCTCCGTCATGTAGAGCTGGGATACTATCGATAGTTGAAAACTATCGCCTCTATCGATAGTTTTTGAAGACTATCGATGTCGGTCTTCAGCAAAACTTCGCTATATTCTCTTCACATCTCGACGCAACTTCATGTCTCGAGGCAATTTCAAGTAAAAGTAAGATTTTAAATATTCATACATTACAGGAAATCACAATTTATTTAGGTAAATTTAGTTTTCTTATATGAAAGGAAATTCAGAACACCCCCAGCAGAAAATCGGTAATCGCTTTTAGGAGTAACTTGTTCTAGAAGGCATAGCGATATAACGCCTTTGAATTTATTCGCTTCTTTTAGGCATTGCCGGTATTGCTAAGTAGAATGTCTTTCAATATTTTATTTATTTCGCTTCTTTGTTTCATTTCGGGGAATGCAAAGTAGAAAATCCTATAATATTTTTTATACGCGAGCGCACTTGTGCACAAGGGTATTATAACTTTGTTCACATAGCGGTTGTTTGTAACAGGCAAAACGAATCGAGATAGATATAGACAAATGTATACATAAATGATCAGAATGAAAAGAGAAATCGATTAAGCGGTGACTGTCTGTCCGTCCGTCCGTCTGTCCGTCCGTCTGTGCACACGATAACTCGAGTAAAAATTAAGATATCTTAACGAAACTTGGTACGTGTACTTCTTTCGGGCGTAAGACGGATGGTATTGAAAATGGGCAAAATCGGACAATAACCACGCCTACCTATAACGGTAATTTTCAGAAATACAAAAACTGCGATATTTTAGTAACTACTGAAGATAATTCACTCAAAATTGATATTTATAATAAATTTTAGACGAAAAATAAGAATATTAACATTTGTTTGAAAATGGGCGTAGCCACGCCCACTTATGGTTACATGTGTATATCTTCGTAGCAGCTGCATCAATTTATTCCAAACTTGGCACAGTTGTTGGCCACATCCCATATAACGGTAATTTCGAGAAATACGAAATCCTCGTTAAATCAGTAAATATTTAATTTATTCAAAATGATGGTTGCAACAATTCTTTGCCAGGAAATACGTTTATGATAAAATTTTGGAAAATGGGCGTGGCACCGCCCACTTATGATCACGTATATGTATCTCGCTAACCGTTCTAGCAATTTGTACCAAACTCGGTATGGTTATTGTGCTTGCCACATAAAAGTAAACCATTGAAAATTGTTGAAATCGGACTAAAATTACGGCCGCTTTTCATATAATGGTAAATTTCAGAAATGCTTGAAATTTCAATATTTTGAAATTTAAGGACGCTAGTTTACTTAAAATTTATACACGCCGGCTTATCATGTAGCGGTAGCTTTCGGAAAGGTGGAAAACATATATTTAATACTTGCGCCGGGTATTTAATGTTCGGCTCCGCCCGAACTTAGACTTTCTTACTTGTTTTTAATTCACTTCTTTGCTTCGTTTCGGGGAATGCAAACTAG